CTGGCTCTATCATTTTCTGGCCAAGTGACCCAGTTACTTAATCTCATTAAACCTCTGTTTTAGCTTCTGCAAAAAATAAGGTAATAATTACAATACCCTTCCTCATATGTAGTTATGACAATTAAATTTTACAAAGGCCTTCACAGTAAGTCAACATTGGCTGTCAATATTATTTCCTTTCTTATGTCCGGTTCCTAATTTAAGCTTAGTACGTAAAATCTAACATGGGTCATTGAGAAAAGAAGAAGAACATTAGAAACTTTCAAAATAAGACAGCAGTTCTCACATACTCTCTAAACAGATTAGGATTCTATCAGGTGCAATGTTCTATTACTCCCTCCTTATTACAATGAATTCAGTCAATGCTCTGACTTTATAAAAATTTTGTATACTTTTTACTCAACAAGTTTTTTAAAAGAGGCAGTAGAGATTGAGAATATTTACTCTGGACCAGACAGACTTGGTATTTAATTATATGACCTTGAGAAAGCTATTTAACCTCTCTTTGCCTCCGTTTCCTTGACTGTACAATGAAGACTATAGTACATACACCTCATACGTAGCACCTAGAACAGTGCTCAGCACAGAGAAAGTGCTAAGTAAGGACTAAGTAGCTAACTGCAAAGCTCCATTCCTAGCACTGTGCCAGACACTGGAAATTCTGGGATTAATGACACAGTATTTGCCTTCAAAGGGGTCAAGACACATAATCACAGTTTAATTTTTCACATATCTACACATGATGAATGCTTGAACCCTTGAATACACAGAGAAACACCTCTTTCATAATAAAAATTAATATTTTTTAAAATCCAAAAATTCTGAAAATTAGCATCCAGAGCAGATGATAGGTGCACTGAGTTTCGTGTTATTCTTTCTGCTTTTGAGTACGTTGGAAATTTCACATAAGAAGTTGTTTTCAAAAATGATAAATCATTTTCTTTCAGAAGATAAGCCAAAATTATGTAATTTGAAGGATTTTCTTTCACACCAATGTCTTTCTACTACAAATTTAACTTTGTCAGCAGTAATGCTTAACATACCTTTATATTATGTTATTCAGTAACACTGAGTTTACTTTATTCAATTTTTCTTTTTTTTTTTCCTTTTGGTCACGAAAAATTATGCTTTAAGAGAGAAAAAAGTAAGATCAGTGGTTACTCAGGGCTGGAGAGAGGGAGGAATGGGGAGTAACTGTGAATGGATTTATTTTTTGGGTTAATGAAAATGTTTTAAAATTAGGTAGTACTGATGCTTATATAACCCTGTGAATATACTTTAAAAAAAAAGAATTATACACTTTAAAAGGGTGAATTGTACCTCTATAAAGTTGCTTTAAAAAATAATGCTACAATGAAAAAAAAAAGAATTCACTTGACAAGACTGCCACCTACAGGATTACCTTAAATTTCACCATTTACATTCATTACATTAAATACCACGTATCATCCAATAAAAAGCAAGGGTTTCTTATTCAAAAAAAAGATAAATCCCAGCATTTACAAAATACCCCATATCACAGAAAATTCTGTCTGCAATGTTGAACAAAGTATTCCTGAAGTAATCTCAGTCAATTTTAGTTTGGATGTTTAAAGGACATCTGATTGAATGTGTGAAAAGGAAGCAAAAAAGTTTAATAGATTTGGTAATTATTGCTGGATATATAAACCAATAGTTGTTAGATATTATCATCAACATTAATTATATTAAAATAAAAACAATACAGCAAGTGGTTATATACAGAGTGGATTTTTTAAACTATCTTCTGGCTTAGGTAAAAAATTTCTAATGATAGCAATATATATTGATTCAAAAAGTGCTTTATCTCAAACAACTTAGTGGAGATAATATGCTCTGGAAAAAAATGCCTTCAAACTATTCAAAAAGTAGCTTAAGTGATGATGAAGACACTGATGTTGAAGATTATTGACGAGAGTCTGAATATAGTCATCTTACGAATATGAGTGGGCCAAAAGCAGTTATTTCTAAGTTATTATGATGTGTAATATATTTTAAATGTATGTGTAAATGTTTGGCTAAGTTAACAAAGAAATCCTAATCAGGCATTTGCCTGTTTCACCTATATTCACCAAGGTTTTTATATTCAAGTTAATCAAACTTGGAGCTTCTCACTGTGAAAATGAAGGATTGCCATATAGACAAGCACAGTACAGGTCTCTCAGCAGAGGCATAGTATATCATTTAATCATAAAAGTCCAAGATTTTTAACTAATATTGAAGTCAACACCTAATACTTCTTTGCCTGTATTACTACAAAATGATTAATGGAGAGCTGCCTTTTGCTATGCCAGAAGGGGAGTGCTGGGGGCACTGCATAAGGACATAAGGTTTGAAGGGGCTCCCACTGGCAAATTCTGGGGCAGTTTGAACACCAAAATAATTAAGCACTGTAGTGAATTATAAACTACTGCGGGTGGAGGAAGGGGTTCATAAGTCTATATCAATAACAAAGATTACTAAATGGAAGAGAAGGAAGAACTCTGTTACGGCAAAATGTCAAGTGCTGACTAGAGAGCACACAAAAGATAGAAAATTATTTATTACTTTGCATTCATCACAGTAAAGATTGGATAGCCAAGAACCATGAATGAAAGCTAAATCAAGGAGGAAATTTTGATGAGACGCAGGATATTTTCATGGGTCTCCCCACAAAATGCTTAGTAGCTGCAAGGGAGGAGGAAAAAAGGAATTGCAGTGCAGAAACCAGACATCTTGACTGGTAATCAAAATTAGCATCACCAGAAAGAGACAGATGATTATCAAGTTCCTTCACATATAATACATTGTGAAGGAAAGAACATCACCTATGCAGCACTAATCTGAATCTAATCATGAGGAAATATTAGATAAACCTAAAATGTGCAAAGTTGTATTAAAAAGACAGGAAAAGAATGTAGTCTTCAGAAATGTCCATGTTAAGAAAGAGAGAAAGACTGTGGCAATGTTTCCAAATTAAGGAAATCTAAAGACATATGGCAACTAAACGCAGCATCTGACCAAGTGCAAGTTCTGAACTGGATAGGGGAAAAGGGTGTTACTGGGTTAACTGACCAAACTAGGGACAGATAGCAGGTTAGATTAAAAGTATTGTGTGTAAGATAAATTCACTGAAGTTGATACATACAATAGGGCTAAGACACCATGAAGTATATAACTTACTCTTAAATTATTTAGAAAAACAATTACGTGTGTGTACGTTTGTGAGTGTGTGAATGTAGGTAGGGAGGGATGGAAAAATTCAGAGAGATAGAGAAAGTGGGTGCAAAGCAAATGGGATAAAATGCTGCTAAACAGACAACTGAGTAGAGAGCATATGTAGGCATTCTACTAGTTTTATTTTTTTTTAACATTCTGTAACTTTGAAATTGCTTCCAAATAAAAAGATTAAAATATTGCTATCTCTACTGCTAACAAAAAAAATCACATCATCATTCTTTTAGTACTAAATTATTCAAAATCAACAATACCTTTAATCTTCATCTATTTTAATCAATTTTAAGAAACAATCAACTTTAAGATTAATAATTTTTTTACACAACTAAGAAAGGAATAAAAAGATGACAATTATAAGATGCCATCAACTCTTAAACATACAATTTCAGAAATGTTAAATATGAAAATATATGCCTCCTCTTAAAGTTGATGAAATGCAGTTTTTATATAAGGCCAAACTTCATAAACAATGAAAAACACACATGCATCACTGTACCAAGATGCTGAACAGAACTTTTCCTGTTATCTGGATACTGACAGCAGGATCCAAAGATAGGAGCAAAGAGCTAAATATCTCACATTCTACAGAAAGTTTCACCTAGATTTAAGAGGGACAGGGGTGACCATGATGTCATCAGCCAGCACCTTAACTGACCCCAACCTCTATCGCAGTCTAGAGAATGTGCAGGGGAGGAGAGGGAGTGCCAGAGGACACAGTAGCCTTGATGAAAAGGCTCTCTTTCTCTTGTGATTGCCACCAATTTCTTCCACTCCTTCAAGTGAATGGGTATTTGTTTTTATTTCCAGTTTTTTGCCACTATAAACAATGCTGTAATAGATATCCTTAAAAATACATCCTTAGATAGAGTATTTTTATTCCCAGTAGGATAGATTTCCTAGAATGGGACTGATGTGTCCAAATACAGGTATTTCTTAATCTTTACCGATGTTACCAGCTTGCTTTTCAAAATGTATGCACACACTCTTTACCTTTTTCCCCTTATCCCCACCAATTCTACGTGTTACTTTTCCCAATCTGATATCTTACTGTTACCTTAATTACACTTCCCTTAATTATATGTCCCCATGAATTGGGACATCTTCACACGTATGTTTGTTAGCTTTCCTGTGATTTGTCTAGGCATACTCTCACTCATTTTTCTCCTCTTCTTTCTACCAACTGTTAAGAAACTTTTGTATATGATAGATATTAACGTTTCATCTGTCATCTATATTACAACACTTTTTCCAGAAATATCATGTTATTGATTTTGTTTATAATATCTTTTGTCCTATGAGTTGTTTTGTTTTTATATGATCAAATACAAATACAAACACATGCACACATGTGTATCTATGAGCGTGTTTATATATTTACAAGATAGGTCTCTTAAAGATTCTGAAATCTCAGTAAGTAAACAGACTTTCTAATAAACAAAAATGATTGAGCGGTTAGGGTGTTTGTCCTATATGTAAATAAGGGAGAGCAGGAAAAAGCCCAAACAGGGTTGAAGCAGTTATTACTGAAAAAATAAAGACATTTCATGTTTATTTTTCCCGTTGAGATTTTCAGTGAAGCAGTTATACCTAACTTATTTAAGTGGGGAAAGCAATATGATTCTCATTCTCACTTTTAAATGGAGAAACTGAAGTATGGGGAGAAGTCACAGTAAATAATACAGCTGCGATTCAACAGTATGTCTCTTGAAACACAGTAACAATTGTCAAAACAAGTTTTTGGTAGCATTTAGGAGCAAGCTGCTTACCTTTCAATAGCTAATTCTTTGTTTGAAAGTTGCTGCACTGTAATCACAACCTTCTTCTCTATTCCTTGTTTTAACTTGAAATAAAATTTATCTCTATCCTTAGGCACAGGACTGAAATATACAAAAAAAAAGGAATTATCAATACAATAAATAAAAATACTTCAAAAATAACCTATTTCAAGGGTAAAATGAGACAACAAAGTATTTAAGCTTAAGATGTACTAAACTCTCATCTTGCCAGAGTAACAAACTACAAACTTCACTGTCAGCAAAACAGAGTTGGAATTAATTTTTAAACTGGCTTTACAAGAACTTTATAATTTCTCTCTAACCAAGATTAAAAATGAAACTTTTTAAATGACATTTCAAATTTTAGCTTTTAAAAGTTAACAAATTCAGGCACATGGCTTATTTAATTAATTACTTTGAAGACTGTCACATTTCTGATTAAGCTGGTTGTGTGGTCAAGACTGCCTTTAACACAGGGAAACCCAAGGCAAGACAACTGAGAAGAGCTTACTTTTAAACACTTAGAACTTGAAATGATGGTAACAAATCCAAGTAAATATAAATAAAACATGAATAAAGGGATATAGATCAGGGCAAGTTAATTCTAGCTTAGGTCAGACTGACAATTCTCATGAAAACAATAAATGTCTAAAATATAGGTTGCCTTATCTGAAAAGAAAAATATCTTGAACAACTTGTTTGACCTGAGATCAATTTCTATACCTGAAAAAAAAATACAGATAAAATACCTACCTAACAACTATTGTTAGAAATAAAGGCAAAGTAAAGGCACACAGGTTATCATTAAAGAGCATAACTATTTCCTTTTATCTGTTTATTTTTGAACTAAAGAAAAACATTCCAAACATACAACAGGAGGAAAGGGTTAATTAAATGATGATCAAACCATACAATATACTACTAGCAACCACTAACAATTATTTTAATCCTAAGAATACTGCAAGAGAAAAATTCTTCTATCATGAAGTTAAAAAGAAAGAATTATATATATACAACTGTATAAAACTACACCCTAGAAATCAATTATTAAAAGTGATTGTGGCTGACAATATCATAGCTTTTAATTCTTTTATTATTTTACTAAATTTTCCATAGTATAAGTATTTTTAAATATGAAGAAAATCTTTTACATAAAATATCTGAAAAGCATGACAAAAGTGAACCATGCGTTCACTGGCGAAATATTTATCAGCCTAAAGCTTTATACCAACACTGTATAGTTTCTGGAACCTTTATATCAGCTGATATTACATTTCAGACATTTTTATTCTTTCCAAATAACCTCACCTAAAGTTTCCTTTTCCATCATCTTCTTTTACCTCCAAGGAGACACTGAAGGTAAACACATCACTGTCGGGGGTAGGAATAACTGAGTCTTTGACATCAGAAACTTGTCTAGAAGAACGTTTGAATGCTGTACAGAAACTATATAAAATTCTGCTTACCTAAAAGAATAAAAATGAAAATATTAGGCAAAAATTTTAACTGTATTTTTATAGACTTCTCTACTAATTCTTGAATCTATAGCCACAATTTTTTAGCAGATAAAGCACATATAGTCTAAGCATATATATGCAGTTTATAATATATAGCATATATATAGTATAAGCATATATACACACAAACACACAGTTGACCCTTGGACAACATGGGTTTGAACTGCACAGGTCCACTTATACACGGATATTTTTCAATAGTAAATACTACAGTACTATACAACGACAGTTGGTTGAATCGGCAGATGTGGAACCATGGATAAGGAGGAACCACGGATATGGAGGGCCAACTATAAATTATACATGGATTTTTGACTAAGCGGACGGTCAGCGCCCTTAACACCCGCCCCCGAGCACGTTGTTCAAGAATCAACTGTAGCTTGCGTCTTTCAATCTGGCATTTAAACATTGTAATAAAGATGTTTATCTTAAACTCACAAAAGAAGCTGTATGTATTTATAGATGTTTCTAGGACTCATAAATTGAAATGAAATGAATCCTACGATAATCACTCAAATGGTGCTGGCATCTAAATCTTCCTAATGAACACCGAACTTCCCAATGAACACTTCTATCCTGAGGCACAGAATAAATACTGTTTTTAGGAGTAAGCAAATGTGGTAACGTGGCTTCAAGAGCTTCCAGTGTTGTTACTCAATGTTGTTGTGGTATAAATGTGTCACAGAATGAATGAATACTAAAATGTTCTTATCGAATTTATTAGTATTAAGCCACTCTGGTGACTACTTTGTACACACACACACACACACACACACACAAATGAGATAGATAGATAGATAGGTAGGTAGGTAGGTAGGTAGGTAGTCCCAATGGCTTATAGTCTTTTCCTAAAGTAAAGAAGGACTCTAAAATCCCATACTTTTCCAGAAGTTATTCTCTTCCCTGGTTCCAAAAGAAGCATCATACATCTCAAACTTTGTAAGCTTGAAGCACAAAAGACCTTCCAAATCTCTCAGGCCACCCATGGGTTGAACAAATGAAAACATGAAATAAGAAGTGTTTAAACAATGGTCATATTTTCAAAATCTCACATTGGGAGGTACTAGTTACGAAACTTGTCTGAATATTAACAAATTCTTCCCTTTAGATAAAGTGAATTCAAATTATTCTTTGAATTATAGTAGTCTAGGATTATAATATTTTACAATTTGCTTGAAATAAGAGTGCTCTCATCAACAGTACAATTTTTAAATGGGAGACTTTCCTCAATTGTCTATTTTTGTTATATTAATATACTCTACCTTTTCTCATACGCACAGTCTATGCATGCAAAAACAAAATGGCCCTCAAACTTCCAATAGCCACTCTTACATCTAGTAATTAATGATTACCCCAAATTGCCTTTCCAATGCCAAATTAAGTTTTCTAAATTAACTGACTTATACAATTTACCTGTATAAGAATGCTGCCTGTCAGCCTAAAGTTCAACTTTAGCAATAGCATCAAATTTCTATCACAGTGCTCGTAAAATTTAATATGTTAATGTGTTATCCCATTATAATTTTACATAAATGAGTAAAAACAATAAAGCAGCAAAAGATTGATATTAGTCAACTGTAGACCTCAAATCCCATACAATTAAGACAATGATAAATTTACTCATTCACTCAACAAATAGTTTTTGAGTGCCTTCCGTGTGCTAAGTTTTATCCTAGGTGCTAGGGATACAGCAGCGAACATAGAGCTTATATTTCATCACGTGTAAGTTGAATGTGCTTGGGGTAAATGGAGAGGAATAAGCAGGCAATCCAAAAGCAGAAATGTTCAGCCTCAAATGAACTCTTGTTTGACTTAGCTCAATGATTTAAGTGTTATAGAGGGAAACAGAATCAAAGTACATGCTAGAAATAAGTCACTGAAGATTATGCCTACAAGGTAAAGCAAAAAAAGGGACTTTTACTTTCAGTTCTTTGAGTACTCTCCACATCCTAACCTCAAATAAAGTGTGGTCTATTATTTACTTTTTACATATCTTTAACATTTTAAGGATATTTTTGAGAAAACATTATATATGAAAACAGAATACCTGTACATAATTTTTGATACATTAGTAGAGTCAAATCCCAACTGTATTTATCCTTTCTTCTTCTGTCCCATATCTTCTATTTCATTTTCTTCATATCAGAGCTGTCAGCAAGCCTGCTACATTAGGCCACACCAAAAAAAGTCAAAGAACTTGGCATATTCTAAAGTAGATGAGCAAGGCTCAGGGATGTCTTTTTCAAAAGGCTAAGTATATGGGGCTGAGCTATAGTGACAGAGAATGATGGGAGGGAAAATCAGGTTACACCCTTCTCTCTTTTTGGAGGAAGGACATAACAATACATTAACTTCATTAACAGCAATCAAACTGCATTTAATCCTGACCGTGTCTTAGAAGTTGATATTTCCAACAGCAAGATTAAAATCCTTTGTGACTTCTAGAGTCTGTGAATATGCTAGAATGATGATCCACGAATTTAGTAAGGTAGAGAAACAATGATTATCAATGTTTGTAGTTACCGGAACAAATGGGGTAACCAATTTCATCAGGAAAAGAAAATTTAAAACATAATACCATGGAAAACATTTCTATACATGTCACACCATATTTTATATAAATACATATATATATATATATATGTATATATATAAATAAAATAGTATACACACATACACAATAATCCAGAATAGGCATTTTCTTTGCAAAAGTCAAAAGTTTTATTGACAAATAATACAGTACAATTTTTCCCTAGAAGGTAATAGATACAGAAAGGACTAGTTAAACACAAAACTATCTGTTGGAGTTGCTGTTTTTGAAGAGGTGGGGAGGAGGGCACATGTAGGTACGTAGAAAGGAGATACGCCAACTGGTGGAATTCTGAGTAACTTTTATTTTCTTTTGTATTTCAGTATTTTCCAAATTCTCAAATATGCATTACATGTTAACAGTCCCAAAACTGAGATTAAACAAGATATTTACTTAAAATAAATAGCATAGCCAATTTTTCCAAGATAAAGCCTTTTCACTGATACTGGCGAAAGAGAATCAACTCTTTTAAAAATGTATCAAGAAAATGTTCATCCCCAAAATAAATGTAGAAAAATCATTATATAAAAGACACCCAGAAAGATATGTGTTAAAATTTTAAAGACAACTTGCTCAAATATATTATTCACTGAAAGGAGCTAAAATAAGAGGCATATTATACAAGAAACCTTTTTAAAATTAAAAAGGTCAACTTATTTAAGAAGAACACTAACAATATAACTTACAAATTAATTTCCAAAGTAAGGCATTTTTCTAAAACACTATCTCCATAAATATGCGTTTAGAAATAATTTTTTTCCATTCAAGGAATAAGGTTTTCTTTTAATATTGGCCTATCAGCAACCCCAAGAAAAACCAGTACATTTAGAATAAATATCTTCCTAATGATACCCTTGAGCTTTGTCATGAAATACCTCTGAATGTCTTTAACACCTGATGATAACAACCTGCTTCTATTATGCAACCATTATGAGAACTGCTCATAATGGTTGAGTATATTATACTATAAAAACTTCAAAATCTGTTTTGAAGAAAATGGTTACACTGCCTAGTAAAAATAAATTCTTAAGGAGAGTCAACTAAGCCTTCTGAAGTATCTTTAAAAAACAGTTTTGTATAATATATCCATAAAGATGCAACAAGAATAGGTGCCTCCTCGGCTTTTTTCACTATGCTTTCTGATACTCTGCTTTGTCTGCAATTCTTCAGCCGAAGTCTACCACACCACTCTCCCTGCACAAAGATCATCAGTATCAGGGTATTTCTGGCTGGATTCCCCAACTCTTTACTCCATAGAGAACTGAGATCCACTACAGCAGAGTCCTACAGAAGAATATCCAGGGTAATAAGTCAAATGTGTCCTAACCCTTCTGTGGGGGAACCCCAGTCCTTGTGACAGGTCCAACAAAGCCATCACCCTCACTGGGCTTCCCCTCTACCACTGCTGGTGCCTGCTGCTTGTGGGATTTAACGATGAAATAAGAGCAAATCACAGTGACCGCTGGTAGTGGCAGCCATGCTGCTACTCCCTCTTGAGAAGATGTCTTCATGCCTTTAACTGACAAACTTCTTCAGACCTCATCCAAGGAGTCTGCAAACAATGGGAAACAAATTAGCAACAGTGCTGCATAGCACATATTTAAGCAATAAGAATGTCTGTCATCTGTTCTTGAGCTATCTTTGTCAACTGTCTGTGCCTATCGAGAGGGACCCAAACGATGAGGACTAAAATTGTCCTTTCACCACAGAACAAGAAACTTCTAGGAATCAGATAACCAGACAACCAGCAAATCCAACAAAAAAAAGCTTCAGATTAATTAAAAGAGTTATTATTCTTTAAGGAAGACAGGAAAATGTCAGACATCTTCTGTAAAAGGCATGAGTAGAACGCAAAGGTTGCTGGAATGTAAGCTATAGGACTGAAAAATCCCTTTATAAAGCATAATTGAAAGACAAAACTCCACATTCACTTTTCAGAAGAAAGCAACAGGAAAGTTGTTACTGAAAATTACATGGATCTTCAGAGTCAGAAACTTGCTTCTGAAACCAGTTCTATCATCTATTCTCTTAGCCTTGGGATAAAGAAAGGGTAACCCATACAATTCATCAGCCAAACCACAATACTTTTGAGAATAAAAAGAAGTGCTTTAATAGTATACCTGGACAACAGGCATAAACCAGGACTGCTCCAGGCAAAGAGGAGCGTAAGATCACTCGACTAAATACTATCTATGTTATGGAGATGTTATGAGTATCAACTAAGTAATTAGCAGAGTGCCTGGAGTAAGTTTTATCTTTATATTGGGTTATTTTTCATTCAGAAATGATCTCTAGTAATAAAGCTGAAAGACAATTATCATGCATTTCTCCTTCAAACAGTGAATTTTATCACCTATGTCCTATAATGTAAAACTTCAAAAAATTTACTCTAAAAAAATTAATACATGGGTATCACTTTCTCACAACCTGCAATGCACCAAACAGCCTCTCTACAAATAATATTATTTAATACCATATCCAAAATGGTCAAGCCAAGAATTCCCCAGCTTACCCACTGTTAAAGTTCTCAAAAATGACAAATATTTCTCCCACCCATAACCAGTGGATGCTATAATCCATAAAGAGAGTTTCATACCATCACAGTATTGAAAAATGCTTGCAACCAGGTCCCTTTCAGTTTCCTTCTGCAGCAGTGTTTCTGACTCCATCAGCAGGTTCTCCAATTCTTCAAAGTTCAATTTCTTGCTGTTGAGCACCAGTTATCCAGAAGCCACACAGGTATGTTTAATGATGGCTGCCAACATGAAATGCCAGGACTCTACCATCTGCTTCCCCACCTCTGTGGTGGAGTTGTAAGGATCAGAAACAGAACCCCTAATTCACAAACACACACTCATTCTTTCAACTTATTTATATTCATTGCCTCCTATGTGCCAGGCACTCTTGTACTCATTCACTCTCCTATGCCTCACACACTTGGCTAAGTAGTCAGCAAATGTATATGTGTATATGTCTATGTATATGTATGTATGTATGTTTGTGTGTACATAAACGCTGGGATGATTTAGAACTATTTAAAAAAACAAACAAACTTGAACTTCTTACACAGGCATGCTTCTGACAAAGAACTTCTATGGCTACAATCTAAATTATGTGTGTGTGTGCATGTTCATTTTAGTGTAAATAAAATTAATCACCAAGGTATAACAACCAACAGACCCCCTCAAGCTTAGTATCAAACACACATAAATCTACATTTCTAAGAATTCCATACTGTGGCCAGAAATAAACTCTCAGAACTCCTGTTAATACAATCATTTAAGTTTCATGGTAAAGAGAAAATAGAGCAACTGTGGCTTTCAGCATTTTCTGCTGACAATTTGTATTTCCAAAAGCAAACATACCTGAGACCTTGTCCATCCAAACACATTTATTAATGCCTCTGGAATAGTTACATAAGTCCTAAAGTTCTGAAAGTGCAACTTGTATTTAAACTGGGGAGAATTCAATAGATACAGAAAAGAAGGCCATTTCCGCATTTATGTAGCAGCCATTTGATTCTTACATGCTTCTCCAGTCTAAGAATAATCTACCACTTAATAATTGCTAAGAGGAACTTACCAGCATCTGTAAAATACTACAAGTTGATATCCCTGCTTTATGTGAGCATTTGTGTTTTTTATTAAACCAGTTCTATAGAACAAAAGACAGCCTCTGAGTGAAAGCACATAACAAAAGATCACCAGTGAAAACCACAGAGGTCTATGAAACAATCTTAGTGTGGTATCTAAGTAGAGATAGCCAGCAGAGAAAACTTTTTTTTTCAATCACACGGACCAATCAACTTGGGCAAAACAATAAAAGGGGTACAAAAATATTCCTCCTTTCTAAGCCTGAGCAATCACTATCACAGTGGGGTGAGAGGACACCCCATCGAGGGGAACTTTTCCGTTAATCTGTTAAACTGAGAGTGCCCTACCTACAGCACCACTTTAGTGCAGAGTTATCAGATTTAGCTCTCCTTATTCAGTTCTGTGCCACTACAAATATTTTGTCTTTAGACATATACTCCAAATTTATGTAATACGGTATATGGTCATACATACAAAATTACATGACAGTGAGATTAGGGTTCAAAAATATTACCCTGGTTCATCTCAATAGCAAATTGCTACAATATATTGTACTTACTGCCTCTTTAATTTCACAGGAGAAAACATGTATCTGGAATTCTTCTGAACCATGGGAGCTCTCTGTAAATGCAAAGCAATTGCTCTCTGTTGTTCCATCATGTCCACGTGCACAGAATAACACCTTATAGATTGGAAAAGATGCTATCTCCATGTTGTTAGATTGGTCTATGATTCTGCAGAACAGTGATGAAAAATGAGATAAAATATTTCCAAACTATCAAAGAACAAAGGCAGTTTTATTATACCAATAACATATAAACATAATTATTTTAAAAATCACAAAAATAAACTGGTACTAACAATGCAAGGAAACAAATTATCTTCATATTTTTGCTATACACATACAAATTCTTCACCTTCTTCTGACAATTATTTCATTTTTGTGTCCTATGATACAATTCAATTACTCTCAAAGCCAAGTATACATTGCCTGGTAAAATCAATGTCACCCATCCCTAAATGCTAGTCTTGTTCTGTTATGACAAAAGGAATGCCAGTAAAAAACAGCACTGGCCATCCCTGGAGAGTTCATTTCTATTTAAATAAAGCAGCACCCATATGTTTACCCAAGCCCCAGGTCATTCATTGTTCAACCAAAACCTCTTTTACCCTAAAAACGGTCAGAGTGGTACCAAAGATGAACGGAATTTAAGAGATAAAAGGAGTTTGTGGGATTTAGGAGTAAATATTTCTCTGACTTTTCCTGCACAAATCCTAAGCCTTACACTGATATAAAAACTAAAGACCACTTCAGGATCTCAAATTATGAAACTAAGGGATACCCACTAGGAATACAGTCAATTCGAAACACTAAGTCTCTGTTAGTATGTCTGGTACTTTGAAACTAAATAGATAACATTAAAAGACATTTTGATATTCTTAAGAGATTTCATACAAACAATATATCTACAAAACTCTTTGCTGAAAAACTCAAAGCATTTTTACCTAAACCTTGTAAACTTATATTGCGATTATTTTGGTACTCAGAACTTTTCTCACATTCTAAACTTTAGAGAATGAGGCAAATCAGAAAGGGATTTAAAAGATTAAATCAGCTTTAAAGGAATATTACAGGTTCAGGACATATTCGACCTAAATTCCTAGACCTGGTTCATTTATTGTTCATTCAGCAAATATTTACTAAAAACCTGCTATGGCCCAGATATTGCTCTAAACACTGAAATTGTAGCAGGAAATAAATACCAATAACTTGCTCCTATGGGATTTATATTCTAGTGAGGAAGATAAATAAACAAACAAATATATAATATAATATCAAGTTAAGGAAAACTGCTGTGAAGAAAAAAAAAAGGCCCAGTAGAAAGAAAGAAGGATAGTTACAATACGATCAAAGGAGGTTTCTTTTAATAGTCTGGCAGTTTCTTACAAAACTAAATGTACTCAAACTATACGATCCAGCAATTACACTCCTTGGTATTTACTCAAATTTAAATTAAAACTATGTCTACACAAAACCCTGCACACAGATGTTTATAGAAGCTTTACTCATAATTGCCAAACCTTGGATGCAATCAAGATGTCCTTCCACAGGTAAATGGATAAATAAACCATGGTACATCCAGACAATGGCATATTATTCAGCACCAAAAAGAAATGAGCTATCAAGCCACAAAAATACATGTAGGAACCTTAAATGCCTATTATTAAGTAAAAGAAGCCAATATGAAAAGCCTACTTATTATTACACAATTCCAACTACATAACATACAGGAAAGGGCAAAACTATGGAGACAGTAAGAAGATCAGTGGTTGCCAGTGGTTGTGAGGAGGGACAGATAAATAGGCAGAATGTAGGATTCTTAGGACAGTGAAAGTACTCTGGATGAACTGCAAAGGCGGATGCACATCATTATATATTTGTCCAAACCCACAGAACGTACACCACCAAGAGTGAGCCCCAACATAAACTAAGGGCATTGGAAAATTATTACATAAGTTCACCAATTGTAACAAATGTACCACATGGAAGGGGATGCTGATGATGAGGGAAGTGTGTGTTTGGGCAGAGGTAGGGGGTTGCACATCTGGGATACAAGAAATCTCTGTACTTTCTGCTCAGTTTTGCTGTGAACCTAAAACCTCTGATAAAAAATAAAGCCTATTAAGAAAAATAGGGAAAAGCAAAGGAGGTTTCTTTTGATAAACAGTTTCTTGAGTTGAAACTGGAAAAAAGTTTAAGAGCCTCTGGAAAACCAAGGAAAGCTTTTTTAGCCAAAGTAAAGCATAATCAGATTTATATGTAAATAAATTCAAAGTTCAGATGACATTATATATTATTTCTAATGAAGCATATGACAAGAAACCATTTTGCTTCTTTCCTGTCTGACATAAAGAGCTTAAATTCTAGGGATCAACCTAGTTTTTGAACCACTGTTACATAACAAGGTAAAATACAAATTACGAGTATTTTTACAGTTACAATTACATTTATAACATTGTAAGCATAATTTTACAAATGCCCCTTGCAAATAAGGAGCACAGTCTAAACCTAAACATGTTTGCTATGCACATCTTCAGAGTAAAAATGAATTCACAGTTAAGTCCTAGGCCTCATCTATGATAAATATCAACACCATGACCCAAAAAGCTTCATACATGTCTAAGAGGGGTAAAAAAAGGATTAGCGCTTACCTCACAGAACCTTCTGGAACATTTGGCACATACAGAGTAACAGGAAAGGGGTACTGACTGGAAGATTTCATAGTTGCCATTGCCCGTAAAGCCTCCACTTCATTACGTGGGGAAGAAACCTTCATACATCCTAAGTAGGTCAGTTTGTTAAATAAAACACTATCTTCTTCAGCTATTCCACCTGGAGAAGATGGTCTGTGTGTAGAAATTTCTGAAGAAAAAAAGAACAAAACACTCAAAAGTTAATGCAAAATTTCACAGTATCATTTCACCTGCTGCCCCCCAAAAAATGAAAAATTGCAAATAAAATTTAGGTCTCTGTTTTCATTTCATATAATGTTTATCTCACATCTTAACTTAGAGTTCTAGAACTAACCATTTTGCACTTCAGATCTCTCCAAGTATTATCTTACTAAGCTATAACTTCTTTAGAGAAAAACAAGACAATTCTAAGCTTTATATTTTAAAAAATAAAAAATACGGAGGTCAAACGACTAATATAATAAGAAAAAACTAAAGTCAGTGTGAAATAGCCTAAAAATAAGGAGAATTAAATAAAACTAAAATCAGTTAAAAGTTTCTCTGGAAAAGATCCTGCACAGACAACTCCAAATTTATTAAGCAGCCTAACTTCCTAAGCAACAATCAACAATACGAAAATGTTCTATCACATACCAACACCAACAAAAGTCTAGCTCTTTATCTTGCTCCTTCCCAGCTTGCTGACTTCCACAAACTAAGTAAGTATTCCAATGAAAATTTTTTTCCTCTAAATTATTGTTATTTTGATGAATTATCATATGACTGCTTCCCCCAATTCTCCCCTCCCAATTAATGAGTCTTTTAAAAAACAAACAAAAAAACTATTCACTTTAATTCTAAACACAGCATGCATGTATTAAACTGCATGCATGTAACATGCATGTATGTAACTAAGCACTGCATGCATGTAACTGTGGTTAGAGTATGAATCTGCATATGCCAAGAAGAATAAAGTTCTCCCTTTGCCACTCTCCCTATCTCCACCCAAAAACCCACATTCAGGTGGTCTCCACTCTTCCCCTATTACCCATATCCATGCTGCACAAAAGTATGCCTGTCTCACCCAAACTAGATCCTTGCAGCATGCTCAAATCCTCATTACCATGATTATACTTACAGGATATTAATAAATAATAAACAAAAGCCATTCCCTACCTCCCCACTCCAGTTCCCATATACTATACTAAACTATTATGCAACCTCACCACCTAGTTTTCTCTATTGAAAAACAAAAGCCATTCAAAATGAAGTACTTCATCTACCATGTTGTTCAATCACTAAAACATGTTTTTCCATTTTCTAATCAGTTCAGTGTACTATATTTCAAAAGTGATAAATAAAAAACTGAAAATACATTTTAATGCTGAATGCCAATATGTTTAAATTTTATTATACACACACACACACATATATATAGAATGCATTTTTTGTTAATTTAGCAAGTATACTCATGCAACAACAATTATTTGCAATATTCTACGGTAAAACCATGCTCAGTGATTGATGAACATGGTAGGATCAAGTAGCTCAAGTGGTCTAACATGTGTAATTGGAGTCCTACAAAAGGTAAGAGGAAAAAGTAGGGAAAAGGCTTTTTAAAGAAATAAATATTTTACAATCTGTGTAACTCACAGAGTCATGAAACTCTGTATGCTCCAAATACAAAAAAAGTACATAATGGATCCAAAAAAGACAGATGATAAATTAGTAGATAAGGCATTTAAAATAACTATTATAAATAAAGGAATTAAAGAAAAATACCCAAGAAAAGGAGGAGAAAAATGAAAGATAAAAAAAGAACCAAAAGAAATTCTAGAGCTGAAAAATGCAAGATCTGAAACGAAATATTCCCTGGATGGACATAACAGCTAATCCTAACTTGCAGAAGAAAAGAAAAATATTAAAGAAGTTCCTCAGGATAAAGGAAAATGATACCAGAGGGAAACAGAAGAGCACCAAAAGTTATAAAATGTGAGAGAAAGACTTTTTTCCTTGCTGTTTAATTTAAAACACAACATACTATTTAAAGCAAAAAAAAATTAATACTTTGTAGAATTTGTAACATATGTACAAGTGAAGCGAATGACAAAAAAATCACAAAGTCTGCAAGAGAGAAAATGGAAGATCACCATGTACATGAAGTGGTATAATATTAATAAAACAGACTTGTTTAAAACTTGGGCTATAAACCCCAGAGAAACCACTAAAATAATAAAACAAAATTATGTAATGAATATGCCAGTAATGAGGATAAAATAGAATATTAAAAAATAATCCAAATTAAAAAATAAAAATAATAATAATCTAAAGGAACACAGGAAAGGGGGGGGCGAGGGGACAAAAATCAAATGGGACAAAGAGAAATCAAACAGCAAGAGAGAAAGTACACTTAGATTCAAACATGTAAGGAGTTACATTAAATGTAAATGGCCAAAACAGGGCTCATTAGCTTTTTCTGTCAAGGGCCATATTATAACTATTTTAGGCTTTGTGGGCCAAGAGAAAAAATCTAGGATATTAGGCAAGTATTAATATAAAAGGTGAGAAAACAACTTTCAAAAAAATTTTTTATACAAATTTCAGAAAACTTAAGCACACTGAAATTTAAATTTCATATAACTTTCATGTATTACAAAACAGGATTCTCCTTTTTGATCTGTTTTCAATCCTTTAAAAATATAAAAACAATTCTTCCTTACAAGCCACATTGAAAACAAGTAGTGGGTATGACTTGGCCCATAGGAAGTAGTTTGCTGACCCCTGGTCTAAACACACCAATTAAAGACAGTTCATCAAACTGGATTAAAAAAGCCAAACTCAACAACAGGCTATGCATAAGAAATACATACCTTAAATAAAAGACACAAAAAGGAAGGAAGGAAGGAAGGGAAGAAAAGAAATAGCTGTATCAAGCAAACACTAATTACAAGAAAACCAGAGTGGCTATATTAATATTAGAATAATCAGATTTCAAAATAACAAATACTAACAAGAGAAAAAGAGATATTTCACATGATAAAAGGGTCAATTTGTCAGGAAAACGTAATTTAAAAAGTGATTATGCCCCTAATACCAGAGCTTCAAAATAACTGAAACAAAAACTGGCAAAACTGAAGATACTCAAACTAAACCAGTCAGGCTGAAGTAACAAGTCTGCTATAGCTTCGCCTATTAACCAAAAACACTGGGCAAAACATGAAAAGTAACTATCTGATTCCTTTTTAAAAAGCAAATAATAATAGATTGGAGAGAGCAGTCAAAACTTGAAGCACTACCAGTACAGTGTTGAATTCTCTTTTATATTTCTTCATCCTTTATATCCCTCATTAGACCTAAGAGCAGCCCAAATTGCAGAACTGTGAAATGAGCAAGAAAACTGAGAGAAATCCAGTCTTTCTAATCAAAGGACAGAAAAAAGGAGTCCTGGTAAACCAGAGAGTGTTTGGGGAATTATAACAATCTTTCTCTCTCCATCTTTTTTCCCTCCGAGTTCTACCACAAGGCCACCCCCAGTGGTGGAGCTGCACTACAATGGGTGGGGAGGAAAGGGAGAGGGATGGAGTAGTGACACAAGCATCTAAAACTCAAAGAAATGAAACCTGTCTCAATGGGTAGAACACCCAAGCAAAGGAGCTCTGATGGTCCAAAAAGGAGACAGAAACCTCTGCTATTTTTTTCTTTCTTTTCTCTCATCACTTTGTCCTAAATTTGACTACAAGCATACAAGAACACATGACAGCACAAAGAAACAAAAACTCTAAGTGAGAAATTTGTCTCTTCTACTCAGGGGAAGAAGGAAAATAGGCCCCAAGAGCCAGAAAGTATGGGTGAAATCCTGAGAAAGAGAGTTGGAGAACGTAATCCTCTAATTTCGTGTATGAACTAACACAAGTCTTGGGTTTACCACCATGCTGTACATGTTTGAAACAGACCAAAGAAGATAGAAAAGGCTTTGGAATTGACCAACTTTGGAATCAGAAAGCAAGAAAGAACATACAGTCTGGTTGTAACCAAGTGGACTGCTTGCTAAAATAAAATCAACATTCTTCAGAGGATTTTATCTGGAAAGAGAATCTCAAACATTCAGAAAATCTGAGAAACAATTCAGTTACTCAACCAACAAAACAACAAAAACAGAAACAGAAAATGGTGACCAATTCTCAAGGGAAAAAGCAATCAACATATACCAGTCTCAACATTATGTTGTTAGAATTATCAAAGACTTTAAAATTGGTATTATAACATACTCTATGATATAAAGGTGAACACATCTGAAATTAATGAAAATATTGAAATCTGCAGCAGAGAAACAGAAAACATAAAAAGAACCAGGGTAAATTTAAGAACAGAAAAACAAAACATCTAAATTAAAATTTCACAGGATGGGCTGGGAACAACGGAGATAACAGAGTAGTGAGTCAGTAAACTGGAATATAGGTCAATTATCTAAGTTGAAGATAGAAAATTTGATACACTAATAGGAAATTATCTAAATTGAAGAAGAGAAAAACAAGATTGGAAAACAGTGAAAAGAACCTTAGAAATTGTAGGACAATATGAAACTAATGCTTTTGTTGTCTGAGTCACAGGAAAAGAAGAGAAAAAGATTACTGCACCACAAAAAAAAAAATTCTAAAAAATAATGTCTGAAAATTCCTCAAGTTTCATGAAAGATACAAATTCACAGATTCAAGAATCTCAATGAACACCAACAAAGATAAATGTGAAGAAAACTACACCTATTTAATTAAACTGCTGGAACACAAAAACATTGAAAAATATTGAAAGCAGACAGAAAAACAGCATGTTACAACTAAGGGAACAATAAATTATTCAAATGATTGCAGATTTCTCATCAGAAACTATGGAGAAATTCAACATCCATTTATGATAAAAACTCTCGCCAAAGTGGGTATAAAGGGAACATATCTCAACATAATAAAAGCTGTGTATGACAAACCTACAGCCAGCATAGTACTCAACGGTGAAAAACTCAAAAGCTTCCCACTAAAATCTGGGACAAGACAAGGATGCCCACTATCACCACTCCTATTCAACATAGTCCTGGAAGTCCTAGCCACAGCACTCAGGCAAGAGAAAGAAATAAAAGGGATCCAAATTGGAAAAGAAGAGGTAAAAGTGTCATTATATGCTGACGACATGTTACTA